GTATTCTTTTCCAATGATGTATGGGTATGTTCTTATGCCAAGACCATACTGTTTTGATTCCATAGCTTTGTAATACAGTTTGAAATAAGAGAGTATGATGACTCTAACTTTGTTGTTCTTTCTCAAGATTGCTTTGACTATTCAGGGTCTTCTGTGGTTCCATACAAATTTTAGGATGGATTGTTCTAGCTCTGTGAAGAATGCCATTGGGATTTTGATAGGATTATATTGAAGCTATAGATTGTTTTGGGCCATACGGACATTTTAACAATATTAGTTATTCCAATCCACGAGCAAAGACTATCTTTCCATTTATTTGTGTCTTCATTTTCTTTCATCAGTATCCTATAGTTCTCAGTGTACAGGTCTTTCACCTCCTTGGGTAAATTTATTCCTAGGTATTTTATTCTTTTTGCATAATTATAAATGGTATTGCTTTCTTAATTTCTCTTTTGATTATTTGTTACTAATATAAAGAAATGCAACAGATTTTTATATATTGCTTTTGTGTCCTGCAACTTTACTGAATTTGTTTATTCTAACAGTTTTTTTGTGGAGTGTTTAGGGTTTCCTATATGTAATATGTCATATGCAAATAGTGACAGTTTTTCTTCCCTGATTTGGAAGGTTTTATTTCCTTTTCTTTTTTTAAAAAAATCTTTTAAGAGATTTTATTTATTTATTTGAGGGAGAGAGAGACAGATAGTGACAGAGATTGTGACAGAGAGAAAGTGGGGAGGAGAGGGAGAAGCAGGCTCCTGGCTGAGCAGGGAGCCAGATGTGGGACTCTATCCCAGGACCCTGGGATCATGACCTGAGCCGAAGGCAGACGCTTAACCAACTGAGCCACCCAGGTGCCCCTTATCTCCTTTTCTTGTCGAAGTCCAGCTAGGACTTCCAATACTATGTTGAATAAAAGTGGTGAGAGTGGGCATCCTTGTCTTGTTCTGATCTTAGAGGAAAACCTTTCACATTTTCACTGTTGAGTATGATGTTAGCTGTGGGCTTGCTATACGTGGCCTTATTATATTGAGGTATGTTCCCTCTATACCTACTTTGTTGAGAGTTTTTATCATAAATGGATGTTGACTTTTCTGCTTTTTCTGCATCTATTGAGATGGTCATATGACTTTTATCCTTCATTTTATTAATATCGTAGAGCATACTGATTGATTTGCAGATGTTGAACCAGCTTTGAATCCCTGGAATAAATCCCACTTGATCATGGTATATTCTCCTTTTAATACATTGTTGAATTTGACTTGCTTATATTTTGTTGAGGATTTTGTGTCTGCGTTAATCAGGGGTATTGGCCTGTAACTCACTTTTTTTGTGGCCTCCTTGTCTGGTTTTTGTATCATCAGGGTAATGCTGGTCTCATAAAAGGAGTTTGGAAGCATCACCTCCTCTTCTATTTTTTTGGAAGCATTTTTGAGAAGGATTAATTAATTGTTTTTTGAATATTTGGTGGAGTTCACCATGGAAGCTGTCTAGTCCTGGGCTTTTGTTTGTTGGGAGGTTTTTAATACTGATTCAATCTCCTTACTCGTAATAGGTGTGTTCAGATTTTCTATTTCTTCATGATTTAGTCCTGGTAGGGGAGGGAGATTTATTCCAACCATGCCTTTTAGAATTTGTATAATAAGTTATTCATTTATCCATCGCCTAGGTGGAAAGTACAGGCATAGAGACCAATAAAAGGAGCAGGGTTCTCTATCCTCCAGGAGCTTACAGTTTGTCCAGAGGTCTTTTTTTAATAATAAATTTTATTAAAAGATTTTATTTATTTGAAAAAGGGAGCCCAAGGTGGGGAGCATGACCTGAGCTAAAGGCAGACGCTTAACTGACTGAGACACCCACATGCTTCTAAAAATAAATTTTTTTGAATAATCGATATGTTCACATGGTTTAAATGTCAGCAATCAAAAGAGAAAAGGTAAAGAGTCTCCTCCTCTGATCTTCTAGCTATCTAGTTCCCTGCTCAAGAGGTAACTACTGTGAATAGTGTCTTCTGTCTCTTTCTGAAGACATTCTGTCCATGTTGTTCAGTTGCTCTTAACAGGGCCCAGAGAGGTGGAGCTAATCAGGACAGTGTGGGGAAGATTTTCTAAGGGCACATGGCTGCAGCCATCAGGCAATGGGGTCTGGGAGGACGGGCAGGCAGAGAGATTCTGAAGAGGATTCCTGGAGGGCTTGGGCATAATCCCCACTTCCAGCCCCAGCCATGGGTCTAGCTAGACAGGCAAGATATTTACATGTGGGAATGGACCTAGTAGTACAAGATTTCACTACAGGTGAAGGTCACATTCCTGGTACAGCCAGACAGTGCCCTCCCCCAGAGGAGCAAGACAGCTGCGGTGGGTCTGCCGTGGCTGGGTGGGGCTTTAAGAAAGGTTACTGTCTTCGGGCACCTGGGTGGCTCAGTTGGTTAAGCGTCTGCCTTCGGCTCAGGTCATGATCCCGGAGTCCTGGGATCAAGCCCTGCACTGGGCTCCCTGCTCAGCAGGGAGCCTGCTTCTCCCTGTCCCTCTGCCTGCTGCTCCCCCTGCTTGTGTTCCCTCTCTGTCTCTCAATCTCTCTGTCAAATAAATAAATAAAATTAAAAAAAAAAAGTTACTGTCTTCAACTTTCCTGGGCCTCCTTGTTCCTCATTTATGAAACCCCTAAATTAGGGTTTTAAACTTTTTTTCCCTTGAACCCCTGTAGCAGTCTGAAAGAACCCATAGGCTTCTTTAAATGCGTACGTGAAATATGCAGGATTATAAATGTAAATGAATGACACTGAAATATGGTGGTTTCTTTCCTTGGTGGCCCCAGGGTAGTCCCAGCGCACAGAGACTTCTGCTCTGAGGAGGGCCACAGCCAGGTTCTGGCTCCCACGGACTGCTCTGCATCTTGGCACTGCTTGGGGCCTGGTGGTGTTCACTAGGAGAAGGGGGTGGGAAAAAAATCCCTCTGAGGTTGCTTTGCAAAAAGTGAAATGAACAATCCCTTTCTCCCCATAATTAGCTTCCCCTCTGTCTACACAGGGCTCCTCTCCTAACTGATTTTGTCTGGTGTCCGGCTTCCCAAAGGTGGCAGCATTGTTCTGGGAAGCAGAATCCCAGCCACCTGGGTGGGGAGTGGCTGCCCTTACAGCCCTGCTTCTGTAGCCCAGTGGAGAATTTCTGAGTCAGCCTGCATGGGTCTTACCCGTGTTTACTGTCTCCTCCCCAGTCACCGGAGTCATAGCCTTGGAGGGGGACCGTGGCCTGCCAAGCTTCTGTTCCCGGTGTGCGGTGGGCCACTAGGCCTCACAGGGGCATGTCTCAGGGCTGGCCTGCCGGCAGATGCAAAAGAAAGTTAGATTCCTGCAGTTGACTTTTTACCCTCCTCCTTCTGGTGTTTGGCACGGGGGCTCTGGAGGGAGGTCAGTGTTTTAAGCAACGGAGTCTTGGGTGGCTTAGGCCAAATTTTTTCTTTGCAAATAATTTAGCATTGGAGTTGCTCCTTCTGATGTGTGTGTTCATGTGGGCTGCAGTTAGTACCTGAACTGTAATCGAAGCAGGCGATTTTTAAGAATCTACTAGAAGCTGAAATTGCCTTCAGCATCAGAAGGGCCTAGTTCACATGTCATTGAAGGTTTCCAAGCAAATGAGTGAAAAAGTGCCTCCAACCCAATTAAATGACTCATAATTCCCATCAGGTACACCCAGTGGGGTTTATATGGGGGACCTCAGCAAAGAACGCCAGAAGGTAGCTGGAGCCTGCTGGAGTTTGTGTGGCATTTAACTCTGTGCTCACTGCATGTCATTTCATCTAGACTCTACAACAGCCCCATGAGGAGAGCATTGTTACCATCCGTTTATCCACAAGAAAGGCAAGGTGCAGAGATGGAGTGATTCACCCAGCTGGAGGGCAGATCTGGGATTTGAAACCCAGTGGGCAAGCTCCAAGCCCCTGTTTCCTATGCCTTCCTGGAAATGGGTGTCTGGACAGCTTTTTAAAAATTGTTTTTGTTGATTTATTTTTATAAACCCATGATTTATTTATTTATTTATTTAGTAACTCTATACCCAAGGTGGGGCTCAATCTCATGACCCCATGGTCAAAAGTCTCATGGTCCTCTGACTGAGCCAGCCAGGTGCCCCATATTACTTATTTAATATGTGTGAAACATTGCTATAATTTGCATTTCTTTGAACACAACTGAGATTGAACAGTTATTCATGTGTCTATTTTTTTAAATTGTAATAAAAATATGTAACATAAAATCTGTCATTTTAACCACTTTTAAGTGTAAGTTCAGTGGCACTAAGTACATTCACACTTTCTTGCAACCATCACCACCATCTATTTCTAGAACTTTTTTGTCACCCCCAAACAGAAACTGTCTAGCCATCAAGCAAGAACTGCTCATTCCTCCAATACCCCCCCAGCCCCTTCTTGAATCTACTTTGTCATTATGAATTTGCCTAGTCTACGTATTTCATACAAGTAGAATCATCCAATATTTGTCCTTTTTGCCTGGCTTATTTGACTTAGCATACCGTCTTCAGGGTTGGCTCATGAGGTGGCATGCATCAGAACATTATTCCTTCTTATGGTTGAATAATGTCTCATCGTTTTGTCTGTCTATTGATGGAGTTTACACCTGGCAGCTTTTCACACAGAGACAGGACCTTACAACTACTCACTCCTGTTCTGGGGATACTTTCTGAACCCTGGCAAATCTGTGTTTGTCCCAGGTCGGGGGTGACCCTCCACTGTGTGTGGTTAGAGGTGCTGCTGAGTTTTTTAAGGTAACTAGCCTTGGTCTATTTAAAAAGATCAAGAGCAGGAAGGTGTCTGGGTGGCTCAGTCAGTTGAGTACCCAACTCCTGATTGTGGCTCGGGTCATGATCTCAGGGTCATGAGATCAAGTCCCGGGTCAGGCTATGCACCGAGCATGGAGTCTGCTTGTCCCTCTCCCTCTGTTCCTCACCCACTCTCTCTCTCAAATAAATAAAATCTTAAAAAAAAAAAACAAAACCCAAAACCTCAAGAGGAACACTACAGTTGTTCTTGTGCCAACACCAATTCTAATTAGGTTCTTTCCCTGTCCGTTCTGTAGACAGCGTCAGAGGGGTCCACAGTGGTTATTTGTTTACTTCTAATCCTCTCCTGTAGATGGAAATTTAGCTCGTGTTTGAAATTCTCCAGGATAGCCACCCAGGAGCCCCAAGTCTCTGCTGGGGGAGTCCGGGCAGGCCATGTCTATCTGGCTTCAGCATCGGCATCTGTAAAATGACATTAAAGTCCTTCTTAGAGATTATGTGTCCTTCCCAGACAGAGAGGTTAGGAAGTTCCTTTCTAATTCTACTCTGGGTTCTTCCTTCTACTTGTATGTTAAGCTTGTGCCTTTCTCCTCTTTGAGAAGCCACTGGTCAGCGTCCCCCTGCAGTAATCCCACGTTCCTGTGATGAGATGACAAAGCCCACTCCCGGGGTGCAAGGCCCCCCACCCTTTGGGTTGCTGTGTGATAGGGGACGCCCTTTCCTCCCAGCAGCCTTTCTCTGGATGCCTGGAAGTGCTGGGTGGCCTTGGAAAGTGTGATTTATGTCTTTCTGGAAGAACTGCCCCCTCTGTCATTGCCAGGAAGTGAACGATGCTGGTGGCTACCTGTTTATTCAGCCGCGGGAGGGGAGAAAATCCATGCTACTCAATGTCCCCTGAGGCACTAGGCCGCTTACGGCCAGTTTTCTTTTCCAGAGCGATAAATCTGAGGGACCCCGTGCTGCAGCAGGTGCTGGAGAGGAAGAATGAGGTCCTGTGTGTCCTGACGCAGAAGATAGTGACGACACAGCCGTGTGTGATATCGGAGCGCGTTCAGATCGAGGAGAGGTGCGGCGGCGTGGTGGGGATCCAGACCAAGACGGTGCAGGTGCGCGGGCCCGGTGGCCTCTCTGGTCCCCGTCCTCGAGGCAGGGGGCAGGGGCCTCTTTGGGGGTGTCTTCATTTGTCTGGACTCTTCTGTAGTGAGCCAATGGAAATCCACCTCAAATTGGCTTGAATGAGAAATAATTTATTGGCTCATGTACCTGAAACGTTCAGGGTCGTCTGGCTTGGCTCACTGCTCGTTCGAAGTTCAGAATTGCAGAAAGCCGTGGGTGCCGCCTTCCCCGGGGGTAGCGGCCCCTCAGGTGGGCGCGGCCCCTCAGGTGGGCGCGGCCCCGGCGGTGCGGCTCTCGGCCCGCCCGCTGCCACCCCGGGGGAGAGGTGCGCAGGGTTGGCTCTCGCTGGACCATCCCTGGTTGGACCCTTTCCCGAAGCAGACCCGAGGCCAGGGCTACAGGGCCCTCAGAAGGGCCACGCAGGCTTGGTCACGTGCTTCCCCAGAGAAAATGGGTCAGAGGAGTTCTGACGGTGTCCGTGCACAGGTCTCCGCCAGAGCCCCTCGCAGCCAGGGGTCTCCGAATGATTACTTTGAGATCAACTGCCTCGAATCCTTTGTGGACTGAGTGCGGGAAGGTAAAGAGCAGTGTTTGTGTCTATATACACACAAACAGAAGCTTCTGGATTAAAATAGAGACAGTCTTATCACGCTGATCCCTGAGCCAGTACTGAACTTCCGTGGAACAAGAGGCTACCAACCCCAGACTGTTTCCTCCACAGCTTGCCATGGTGCCTGATGTCCTATTCTTAGACATTTGCTTCCCGGGGTGCCTTTTGGCTTTTGCTAGAGGACCCAGGAAAGTTGTATTTGGAAGGAAGTGGAGACAGAGGTCCGGTCTGCAGCTGGACTCTCCCTGGGGCAGTGATGAGGAAGGTGCCTGACAGGAGACAGCTTGGCCGGCCCTGCCGGTGTTTCTGCCCGTGGTGGACCCCCCACCGCAGGCCTGGCGCCTGCCTGGGAATCAGGAGGCTGGCTGTCCTCACACCGACCGGGATCAAGTTGCTAAAAGGAGTCTCTGATCTCCAGTGTTTAGGCAACGATCTTCTCCCTAGGCCGTCATGGGAAAGGGTCATATTTGTAACAGTGTTGGAAGGAGAGAGCTATGGGGCCTGACTGCTTGGCATTTCCTGGCAATCCTCCTCTCACCCTTACCTCTCCTCCCTCTGGCCCCCCCGCCCCACACCGAATTTGTTTAACACACAATGTGCTGTCGACAAGAGTCTGGAATGATGTCCTTTTGGGGGCTCCTTGCTCTTACCTAAGTTCTTCCAGTCCGGCTTTGACATTGTTTGGATTTTCATCATTGTCCGGGATGTTGAAGTGGTTACCCTGATCCTTTGTGAGGGAAGTGAGAAGTTACCCTATTTATCTTCTGTATTCAGTGCCATAGACCTAGCCTCACTGTTGCCCACACTCTGGAATCCCGCTTTTGTGTCCCCACTGAAGTTTGCTCATTGACTTCCCAATGTGTGCACTACATCATGAGGCCCACAAGGATAAAATCCTTACGTCTGCCGGCCGGCTTCTCTTTTCTACTCCGTCCTTTGGGCATTTGCCGAATGCCCCTCGTGTTCAAGGCCCTAGGCCGACCGCGGTGGGGAGGCAGAAGCCTGGGGGAGGCTGAGCACACAGGTGGCATCATGTACTCTCACTCACAGGTGTCCGCAAAGGAGGATGGGAACATCGTCAAGGACACCAATGTGGTGCTGGAGATCCCCGCTCCCACCGCCCTCGCCTATGGTGTCATCGAGTTGTATGTGAAACTGGACGGCCAGTTCGGTGAGTGCTGCCTTCCGCTCTGGGTATTAGAGGAAAGAGAGGGGAAGGTGGGGGTGTCCCGGGACACGGGGGCAGGTGGGCTGAGTTGGGAGGACATCGGGCTGGGCGGGCTTTCACCGGCACGGCACAGGGTCAGCAACGTGGGCTGTGCCATCAGAAGACCAGGTCTCAGCCCTGGTGCCGTGGCATCCCGTGGGGCCTCAAGCAAGTTGTGGGTGTCCCTGAGCCTTGACTCCCCATGTCTGGAGGGAGAGAGACATTCTGTCGCGGAGCCGCGGTCACGGTTAAATGGGATGAGCACACCGAGTGCCTGGCGCAGTGGTTGTTTATTACGTACTCCGTCTCAGCTCTTAATCGTACTGTTCTCAGTGGCATCGCACCTTCCTTCCCCCCAGTGTGAAGCCAGAAACATGGCACTTGACCTTGCTCTGCTGATCACCAGTGTTCAAAGCTGGGAGATCCTGGTCATCGCCTCATTTGAAGAAAATACAGGCTTTCGCTTTGCTCGTGTCTGCGGATCTTAGATGCTTACGGCCCCTCCTGGGAAGAGGTTGTGTTGAGCCCAAGAAAACTGTTTGACCACGTCTGGGGGCCAGGAATGAATAAATGTAACATAATGATTGACTTGTTAAGGCATGGTGATGTCATAGTTATGGTTATAAAAAAGAGTCCTCATTTTTAGAGATTTATACTGAAGTCTTCACAGATGAAATGGTAACACGTCTGTGGTTTGCTTCAAAAATGATCTGGGTGGAGCGTAAGGTGTGTGTGCATGGGGTCCGGAGAGGTAAAGAGCGATCATCGGTGCTGGTCAGTGGGTATGTGGAGGAGGTTCATTATACTGCTCTATTCTTGAGCCATTTCACCTTTTCCATAATGAGAAGGTTTTAAAAGGGGTGCCATAATAGACCATGCACATATCTATTGTGGTCTCCTGCTTCCCCCCGTTTGTTCTCTGCGAGGTTTGGGAGGAGAAAGTTGTCCAGGAGTCAGCCTTTTGTGTGCACTTGGCCTACATGGGGTCACCATGCCATAGAGCCACAACTACAGACGCTCAGAACGTGGACCGTCCCCACGGGACAGTCACAAGCTCCTGGGCCATGTGAGGCATGGGATGCCATGGCAGAGACTCCCTCTTTGTTTTCCCACGTGGAGCAGCCTGCCTCTTTCATGGAGGTGACGAAGAGTGAGGCTGTCAGTTTGAAGAAGCTGGTCTGGAGAGGTTGGTCAGGGGCACATGAAATGCCAGGAATATCGAGAATCATGACCTACAGGCTTTAGGCCACGGTTCCAAATTTGTGTCGTCGGCATTATTTTATTCTGGCTCTTTGGAAGACTTCTGTGAGGATTATTAAGAGGATTATTAAGAAGATTCAGTTGTCCCTCCTGTTTTTGTTATCAGCATGTTACCACATGCATGTACATGACTCCAGACTAAGATGTTTAGGCCTGGTTATGCTGTCCACACTTTTATAAGCCTCTTGAAAGCGTGGCCTGCACCCGAGGCTGCCCAGGAGTGCTCTGAGGACCTTTGGTGGCTGGGGACCAGCCTGGGGCTGCCACTCAAGGCTGTGGCCCCTGCAGGGAACCCCTCCCTGTCTCTCCGAGGAGGTGGCCGCGTCCTGCTCTGCTTGCAGCCCTGTCGGGGCACCTGTCACTCCCATGGGGAGCCTCTCTTTTCTCAGACGGGGTTGGAAAGACATAGCCTTGTGTGGTGTGGCTCCTGTTTGCATTTCAATTTCAAGCCTTTTATCTTGGCTGGCTTCTGCTGTCTTTGAAAATAAATTCCTCTTTGTGCTGTGGAGAAGAGGTGCCCAGGGGGAATTCTGGAGGTTCTTCTGGCTCCCTCCCCACGCCCTGGCCTAGGAAGCCCCGCTCCATTGCTCTTTCCTACTGCTGACTGTCATGCCTGTGCAGCCTGGTGGCCGGGCTGACATTGCATGTGACTCACTGCCTGATTCTTAAGCCAGTTCTGCTTTTTTCCCATTTTCCCTTTTGTGTTTTCTGTTGCTCTTGCCACAGAATATTCTGATCTGGCTTCATAAACAGACCTGCAGGGGCCAGAAGGGCCCTTAAGAGGCTGCCCGATGTCTCCTCCCACCTTCTGGGAGGGAATACACGTGACAGCAATCCTGTTTGTCCTCTGAAACTTTAAGCAGAGGCTGACTCCCTGTGTCCCTTGGGGGAGGCACCTGTGTGGCCTGTCCTCACCCAGAGATTCTCTCAGCCATGAGCCCTTCCTTCACCAACAGCTCCTTCTTACAGCCAATCAGAAACATCACTTTATGGTCTTGCACTTTCGCCGTGTGCTTTGTATAATCAGGCATTACGCCAGTGTCCTTCCAGCGTGTCCTTCTGATCGGATGTTCTGTGGACAGGAGCCTGTGCTCCCCACCCTGCCTGGGCCTGTGCCCTTCTCGGCTGGTCTATTGGCCCTGAAAGCATCTCCCTACTGGGTCCCGCTGCACACTCTTAATTGGCTCGCCTGCTTCTCTGAACCTTTCCCCATCTGTTCCATCCTAGCGGTATAGCTGATGTGATTCTTTAAAAATAAAAATTTGGTCACCTCACACATCTGCTTAAACACCCTTCTGAGACTCCCTTTGTCCCAAGAGAAAGTCGGCACTTCAGGTGCGTTGTGACCCAGCCCCAGGATTTGTCCGGCCTTCCTCCTAACCTCCAGCTGCTGCAGCTGTCGCCAGTTAACCCCGCCTGGGGACAGTCCTGTCACCTCTTATCCCTGAGTTCCATGATGGCCTGCGTGCTCTCTGCCTCTTTGCCTAATTCCTACCGAAACTTTAGGGGGTTCCTTAGACACTGCTTCATCCAAGAAACGTTTTCTAGTTCTCGCTCTGGCTTCAGGGACCTGTCTACCTCCTCCCACACCACCTATGTTACCTCTGTCCCCACTCGTAACATACTTGTCGAGGCCTGGACTGTAGTCGCTTTGTGTCACTGGCTCCTAGCACAGTGCCTGACACTGAAGAGAATGACAGAATTGGCAGCGTCTTCAGGGGCCCATGCATGTGTATGGGCAAGAGTGGAGCTGGTGCCAGAGATTCCTAAAATACCAGTTGGCGGCCCTGCCCAGCTCTTGGCAGGATTTGAGACGATGTTAATAGTCATGGTGGCTGTCCTAAAGCAAAGTTATCAACTGAGGGCTGGTTCACACTCATCTGCCTCAGTCCCTGGTGCAAAGGGCAAAGTGAGCCAGGGCTGTTCTGGATGCCCAGTGAGCGTGGGTCATGAGTGAGTAAATGGACTATTTCCTTCGTCTTTTTTTTTTTTTTTAAAGATTTTATTTATTTATTTGAGAGAGAGAGAATGAGAGACAGAGAGCATGAGAGGGAGGAGGGTCAGAGGGAGAAGCAGACTCCCCGCCGAGCAGGGAGCCCGATGCGGGACTCGATCCCGGGACTCCAGGATCATGACCTGAGCCAAAGGCAGTCGCTTAACCAACTGAGCCACCCAGGCGCCCTTCCTTCGTCTTTAGACAGCTGTTTGATCTTTTATATCATTTGTGCTCACAAATAAAAATATGTGCTAATCCTCATGCCTTCCACATTTTTATTCCATAGCCTGTGCTTAACTACACAAATTATTAGTTAGAAGCATTTTATTATTATTTTTTTAAGATTTTATTTATTTGACAGAGAGAGAGACAGCGAGAGAGGGAACACAAACAGAGGGAGAGGGAGAGGCAGGCTTCCCGCCAAGCAGGGAGCCCGATGCAGGGCTCCATCCCAGGACCCTGGGATCATGACCTGAGCCGAAGGCAGACACTTGATGACTGAGCCACCCAGGCGCCCCAATTAGAAGCTTTTTAAAAAGAACCCTAATTCACAAGTTCACTTACTGTTTTGGCTTATTAAGGACATTATTATTACATAATAGCTGTTACCTTAGTTGGGTTCTTAACTATGGAAGTATTTAAGGAAACATTTTTTATTTAAAAAAACTTTATTATGGAAAATTTCATACATGTTCAAAAGTAGAGATAATAATACAATGAACTCCTATGTACCTGCCATCCAGCTTTAATAACTAGGGTGATTCACGTTTCATCTGTAACTTTACCACCTCACTCCACCCTATTCAATTATTTTGAAACAAATCCTAGACATATTGCTCTGTCTATAAATATGTCAGTATATCTAAACAGATAAGCTGTTTTAGAAAGACTAGTTTTGCCTTCATATAGATTCATGAAGAATGTATTCATTTGTCTGTTTTCTTCCACTCAACGTGTTTGTAAGATTCGTTCATACAATTGCAGAAGTTCATTTTTTA